GTACAACACCTGGACAACACCTGTACAACACCTGGGTGTGTTTATTGATGAATAAAACACCTGTACAACACCTGGACAACACCTGTACAACACCTGGACAACACCTGTACAACACCTGTACAACACCTGTAAAAAACACCTGGACAACACCTGTACAACACCTGTACAACACCTGGGTGTGTTTATTGATGAATAAAACACCTGTACAACACCTGGACAACACCTGTACAACACCTGGACAACACCTGTACAACACCTGTACAACACCTGGGTGTGTTTATTGATGAATAAAACACCTGTACAACACCTGGACAACACCTGTACAACACCTGGACAACACCTGTACAACACCTGTACAACACCTGGGTGTGTTTATTGATGAATAAAACACCTGTACAACACCTGGGTGTGTTTATTGATGAATAAAACACCTGTACAACACATGGACAACACCTGTACAACACCTGGACAACACCTGTACAACACCTGTACAACACCTGTACAACACCTGTACAACACCTGGACAACACCTGTACAACACCTGTACAACACCTGGTGTGTTATATGATGTAATAAAACACCTGTACAACACCTGGACAACACCGTTACAACACCTGACAACACCTGTACAACACCTGGACAACACCTGGACAACACCTGGACAACACCTGGACAACACCTCTACAACACCTGGACAACACCTGTACAACACCTGTACAACACCTGTACAACACCTGTACAACACCTGGACAACACATGGACAACACCTGACAACACCTGTACAACACCTGGACAACACCTGGACAACACCTGGACAACACCTGTACAACACCTGGACAACACCTGTACAACACCTGTACAACACCTGTACAACACCTGGACAACACCTGTACAACACCTGGACAACACCTGGACAACACCTGGACAACACCTGTACAACACCTGGACAACACCTGGACAACACCTGGACAACACCTGTACAACACCTGGACAACACCTGTACAACACCTGTACAACACCTGGGTGTGTTTATTGATGAATAAAACACCTGTACAACACCTGGACAACACCTGGACAACACCTGTACAACACCTGTACAACACCTGGGTGTGTTTATTGATGAATAAAACACCTGTATAACACCTGGACAACACCTGTACAACACCTGTACAACACCTGGACAACACCTGGACAACACCTGTACAACACCTGTACAACACCTGTACAACACCTGGACAACACCTGGACAACACCTGTACAACACCTGTACAACACCTGGACAACACCTGGACAACACCTGTACAACACCTGTACAACACCTGTACAACACCTGCACAACACCTGTACAACACTTGGACAACACCTGTACAACACCTGGGTGTGTTTATTGATGAATAAAACACCTGTACAACACCTGTACAACACCTGTACAACACCTGGACAACACCTGGACAACACCTGTACAACACCTGGACAACACCTGTACAACACCTGTACAACACCTGGACAACACCTGGACAACACCTGTACAACACCTGGACAACACCTGTACAACACCTGTACAACACCTGGACAACACCTGTACAACACCTGTAGAACACCTGTACAACATCTGTACAACACCTGGACAACACCTGTACAACACCTGTACAACACTTGGACAACACCTGTACAACACCTGTACAACACCTGAGTGTGTTCATTGATGAATAAAACACCTGTACAACACCTGGACAACACCTGTACAACACCTGGACAACACCTGGGTGTGTTTATTGATGAATAAAACACCTGTACAACACCTGGGTGTGTTTATTGATTAATAAAACACCTGTACAACACCTGGGTGTGTTTATTGATTAATAAAACACCTGTACAACACCTGGGTGTGTTTTTGATTAATAAAACACCTGTACAACACCTGGGTGTGTTTATTGATGAATAAAACACCTGTACAACACCTGGGTGTGTTTATTGATGAATAAAACACCTGTACAACACCTGGGTGTGTTTATTGATTAATAAAACACCTGTACAACACCTGGGTGTGTTTATTGATGAATAAAACACCTGTACAACACCTGGGTGTGTTTATTGATGAATAAAACACCTGTACAACACCTGGGTGTGTTTATTGATGAATAAAACACCTGTACAACACCTGTACAACACCTGTACAACACCTGGGTGTGTTTATTGATGAATAAAACACCTGTACAACACCTGGACAACACCTGTACAACACCTGGGTGTGTTTATTGATGAATAAAACACCTGTACAACACCTGTACAACACCTGTACAACACCTGGGTGTGTTTATTGATGAATAAAACACCTGTACAACACCTGGACAACACCTGTACAACACCTGTACAACACCTGTACAACACCTGTACAACACCTGGACAACACCTGTACAACACCTGTACAACACCTGTACAACACCTGGGTGTGTTTATTGATGAATAAAACACCTGTACAACACCTGGGTGTGTTTATTGATGAATAAAACACCTGTACAACACCTGGGTGTGTTTATTGATGACGTGTTCCACAGTCAATTAGCTTTTATATCTAAATTACAGTCATAATAGGGGATCAGTCCCTCAGTCATAATAGGGGATCAGTCCCTCAGTCATAATAGGGGATCAGTCCCTCAGTCATAATAGGGGATCAGTCCCTCAGTCATAATAGGGACAGTCCCTCAGTCATAATAGTTGATCAGTCCCTCAGTCATAATAGGGGATCAGTCCCTCAGTCATAATAGTTGATCAGTCCCTCAGTCATAATAGGGGATCAGTCCCTCAGTCATAATAGTTGATCAGTCCCTCAGTCATAATAGTTGATCAGTCCCTCAGTCATAATAGGGGATCAGTCCCCAGTCAAAATTAGTTTGATCAGTCCCTCAGTCATAATAGGGGATCAGCCCCCTCAGTATTATAGTTGATCAGTCCTCAGTCATATAGTTGATCAGTCCCTCAGTCATATAGTTGATCAGTCCCTCGTCATGAATAGTTGATCATTTCCCTCAGTCATGTAGTTGATCAGTCCCTCAGTCATGATAGTTGATCAGTCCCCTCATCTGATAGTTGATCAGTCCCTCAGTCATGTAGTTGATCAGTCCCTCAGTCATAATAGGATCAGTCCCTCAGTCATAATTGGGAATCAGTCCCTCAGCATGATAGTTGATCAGTCCCTCAGTCATAATAGGGGATCAGTCCCTCAGTCATGAAAGTTGATCTCCCTCAGTAAATGATAGTTGATCAGTCCCCTCAGTCATGATATTTTTGATCAGTCCCTCAGTCATGGATGTTGATCAGTCCCTCATCATGATAGTGAATCCCTCAGTCGATATTTTGATCAGTCCCCCTCATTAGTTGTCATCCCTCATCATGTATTGATCAGTCCCTCAGTCATAATTGGGGATCGTCCCTCAGTCATAATAGTTGATCATTCCTCAGTCATATAGTTGATCAGTCCTCAGTCAGGGTAGTTGATCAGTCCCTCAGTCATGTAGTTGATCAGTCCCTCAGTCATGATATTTGATCAGTCCCTCAGTCATAATAGTTGATCAGTCCCTCAGTCATGATTAGTTGATCAGTTCCCTCAGTCATATATTTGGGGATCAGTCCCTCAGTCATGATAGTTGATCAGTCCCTCAGTCATTTTAGTTGATCAGTCCCTCAGTCATGATATTTGAATCAGTCCCTCAGTCATATAGGGATCGTCCCCCCGTCATAAAAGTTGATCAGTCCCTCAGTCATTTAGTTGATCAGTCCCTCAGCCCATGGTTGGATCAGTCCCTCGGGTCATGGTAGTTGATCAGCCCCCAGTCATGATAGTTGATCTGTCCCTCAGTCATAATAGTTGATCAGTCCCTCAGTCATGAATTGATCGTCCCCTCGTCATATAGGGGATCAGTCCCCCATTTCATGATAGTTGATCAGTCCCTCAGTCATAATAGTTGATCATTTCCCTCAGTCATATAGGGGATCAGTCCCTCAGTCATGATAGTGATCAGTCCCCATCATGATAGTTGATCAGTCCCTCATCATGATAGTTGATCAGTCCCTCAGTCATGTTGTTGATCAGTCCCTTTCGTCATGTACGTTGACAGTCCCTCAGTCATGATAGTTGATCAGTCCCTCAGTCATGATAGTTGATCAGTCCCTCAGTCATGGTAGTTGATCAGTCCCTCAGTCATGATAGTTGATCAGTCCCTCAGTCATGATAGTTGATCAGTCCCTCAGTCATGATAGTAATCAGTCCCCAGTCATGATAGTTGATCAGTCCCTCAGTCATAATAGGGGATCAGTCCCTCAGTCATGGTAGTAGATCAGTCCCTCAGTCATGATAGTTGATCAGTCCCTCAGTCATAATAGGGGATCAGTCCCTCAGTCATGATAGTTGATCAGTCCCTCAGTCATAATAGGGGATCAGTCCCTCAGTCATGATAGTTGATCAGTCCCTCAGTCATGATAGTTGATCAGTCCCTCAGTCATGATAGTTGATCAGTCCCTCAGTCATGATAGTTGATCAGTCCCTCAGTCATGATAGTTGATCAGTCCCTCAGTCATGATAGTTGATCAGTCCCTCAGTCATGATAGTTGATCAGTCCCTCAGTCATGATAGTTGATCAGTCCCTCAGTCATGGTAGTTGATCAGTCCCTCAGTCATGATAGTTGATCAGTCCCTCAGTCATGATAGTTGATCAGTCCCTCAGTCATGGTAGTTGATCAGTCCCTCAGTCATGGTAGTTGATCAGTCCCTCAGTCATGATAGTTGATCAGTCCCTCAGTCATAATAGTTGATCAGTCCCTCAGTCATAATAGTTGATCAGTCCCTCAGTCATGGTAGTTGATCAGTCCCTCAGTCATGATAGTTGATCAGTCCCTCAGTCATAATAGGGGATCAGTTGCTCAGTCATAATAGGGGATCAGTCCCTCAGTCATAATAGGGGATCAGTCCCACATTCTCACAGTCATTCTCTCTGTTACAGGAAGACATGTCAGAGCTGCAAGTGTACTCGGGAACTTCACGACGTTTACCACGAGGACTGGGTGAACGTGAGGGAACGTCTGGGCCTGGGTGATACACTAGGGTGAGTTATGCTGTGTAAACGTGAGGGAACGTCTGGTCCTGGTGATACAGTAGTGTCAGTGATGCTGGGTGAACGTCTGGTCCTGGTGATACAGTAGTGTCAGTGATGCTGGGTGAACGTCTGGTCCTGGTGATACACTAGTGTGAGTGATGCTGGGTGAACGTCTGGTCCTGGTGATACACTAGTGTGAGTGATGCTGGGTGAACGTCTGGTCCTGGTGATACAGTAGTGTCAGTGATGCTGGGTGAACGTCTGGTCCTGGGTGATACACTATTGTGAGTGATGCTGGGTGAACGTCTGGTCCTGGTGATACACTAGTGTGAGTGATGCTGGGTGAACGTCTGGTCCTGGTGATACAGTAGTGTCAGTGATGCTGGGTGAACGTCTGGTCCTGGTGATACACTAGTGTCAGTGATGCTGGGTGAACGTCTGGTCCTGGTGATACAGTAGTGTCAGTGATGCTGGGTGAACGTCTGGTCCTGGGTGATACACTATTGTGAGTGATGTGGGGGGGAAACGTCGGCCCCGGGTGATAAAACTATGTCAGTGTGCTGGGAACGTCTGGTCCTGGTGATACAGTAGTTCAGTGATGGGGGGTAAAACTTTCCCC